TTTTGATTCCTCTCTCGTAATGTTTGTCCACTGTATATCTCAACACATTCTAAGCATTTCATTTTGTAGACACAATTAGATAGAGAATATTTAGGGATTTGATCTTTTATATAGGCAAGGTTGTTTCTTAGTGTGTTCAATGTTTTGAAGAAAACTCTAATGCCTAGCTTGATGAGTACTCTTTTGATATCGTCTGAAAAGATGATGATGATGATGCAATATCGTAAGTTCAAGAAGACTTATCTCTCTTATGGACATCAAACATAAAAACGCAGGGGGGGGGTGAAAAGATAGGTTGATGAAATTAGAAAACAGACAGTTATTAAGGGATAAGTCATCATGGTATTCAGAGTTCAACAATAGATTCCTTTGGGACACTTACGCCAGGCTTCAGCCGTCTTATTGTGATAGGCTCAGCAAACCGAAGACTTGAGGTATTATGAGCTCATGATATTACATCATCATCACCGTCATCTTTCCATTTCACCTCTCCCACACTAAATTTTGATTTTATCTTATTTTACTGCGTAACTTTTACCAATCTTTGTTACCACTCTAACAACAAATTTGTCAGTTAATTTTTTAGAAACTTCTCTCTAAAAGGATATATACATATATATACGTGCTTACACTCCAACTACCTTGTCAGCCTGATGTTTTACCTCTCCATGACACTCTTCTCTGTTCAAAGTAATTTATATGTGTGTATGCATGTGAGTGTAGTCTTCCACTGACTGTTGTTTCACGATTTATGTGTTCATGTGTTTAGGAAGGAGATAAGATAGTGACCACTCAGTGGGGCTTTGATTTGGCACACTAATTTCAAAAAACCAACATTCTTACGGTTACCACTCATTTCTTTAGCATTTTGGAGTTCATGTATGAAGTCAGATATTTGTAAGCTGAGTCTTTACACCCATCAATTGAATGATAAGCGTCAAACAATTGGCATTTTTATTTTCACTTTTATGAAGAAACCCTCCACCCTACTGCATGAATTCAATGAATACTATAATTAATTACCTAACAGATTGCTATGAATTTGAGAAGACTAGAATTTACTCCTCTTTTCACTGTACAATATAATTTACGAAGGATACATCCCTTGATACCCACTGAAATTGCACCACCAAGTTTGTGTTCAGATAAATGAATGAGACAAATAAACAATTTAACTAGAAAACTACAGACAACTAATTCTTCCTCTATAGAAACTGATTTTTTTTTTTATTACATTGACATAAGCCAATGATATTCAGAGCATATCAGTGAAACTAATTTTTAATTATTCTTCGTAATCCATCCTAAAATATTACTAGTTTGGATGATATAAGAAGAAGGCGTAAACAGTGAAGAAAATTTTCATTTCGACGATTACTTTTCATGAGCTGTACAACCGTAATTATGTATTTAACAAAAAAATCTTTAAACCAATCCGATACTGGTAAACTTTGTCCGCGAAAAATGTGTTGCAAGCGTAAGTTAGAAAAGAAGCAGAAGTTGGCATGACGTAATAGTGTGTGAGAGATAATGACTAATCAATAGGCTGGTTTAGAATGAACAGAAACTAGTGGAAAGGTGATAAAGTGGGTTTTTTTTTAAAGTTTACGACTTCAAATAGGCTAAAGTAGTAAATCTGATGTTAAGATCATATCGAAAAATATTGATTAGTTTCAGTAGTACTGAGCTAATTGTCATGAGTGAATCAGGGATAGAATACTCGCCAACCATGGATGTAGTTTGGCGTTTGAATACTGGCTGACTCACTCCTAAATCTTGCTTAGCCGGTAGTGAACTCAGGAATGAGGAAAGACTAGGCGTTGAGGCTAGCAACCCTACCTAGTAAAAATGACTCTACTGCTATTCAAAACTTCAAATCTGGAGCTTGTATAACAACATATGGCAAGACACGGAAGCAAAGGTATATTTCTCATTAATCAAACCGCTGTTTATATATATGATTGAGCGTGTGATTTTGCTTTAGATCAAACGACATGAAATAGAATGGTCAAGTAGGTAGATCATATTTTGTATTAATGCTGAATTGAACTGTGGGATCATGTGAGAATAACATTTCGTTGGCATACTCTGTCTGTTTCACATCACCGCACTTGAAGCCTGATGTTCCACTGGGAACGGTAGTCTTTTTCTTTTTGGCCTCACCGTTATCTATAAGCTAGTATTTCTTTCTACGTCATCAATTGACTTGATTTCGTCACTAATCTAGAGAGGGATAAAGGGGTGTAGAAATATCTTCATGATGCGAAATCTAGAAATAATAAATTTAGACTTTTATAAACATAAATATGAAACATAAAAGTAGTGTGAGATGTGTTTTATGAGGTCCACTTTAAAATAACAACCAGCCAGACTAAACAAAGTACAATTTCACACATTTAATTCAATAGCTTTAAAGTCAAGAAAAACGTGGGATAGGTGTTCAGTGAAGAGTTACTTCTTTCAGCTATAACTTTCTCAAGTTGTACAATCGTAAATAAATTTATGGTAAATTATATTAGCAACAAGAGAAATACTTTCAAAGGTTTAATTCATATTCTTTTAATAAAATCTCTGCGTATTCTGCAGATGACCTTTGTAACTGGTTTGCAGGTCAGGTTGGTATCCAGACTTAATCACGTAGCACAGGGTAGAGCTGTGCATGTGTCTGTGAGGTCTTTCTTTGCTTGAGAGTAAGTGTTTCATGGTGTCTTTTAACGACAAACACTGCATACGGCCGATATATCAAGCTCTACACGAGTAGATGAATCGATAGATGCACATTAATGAGGTCAGCAGTGGTGGCTTTTCCGTCACTGTCATGTGAATCATTGGTTTTGATGCGAAAGTTAGTCGAAGTTTGACCGCAAAGAAGGCTTTCTTCAATAAGCGTGACTGCTGGCTTATCATACGTAGAAATACTCTTTATTTGAATTATAAACTGTTATTATATTATCATTAATTCTTGCCTTGATAACTGTCAATTGTTTATGCATAATTTATTCTACTTCCATCGATGGTTCATTAGTAAAGTCTTCGCAAATAATTGTAGAAGTTCGCAGGTTCTGTTTTCAGTCGACGTACTCTTAAACCTAGCATAGTTTGCTAAGTGGCAGTAGGCTTCGGAAAAAAAGTAAGATTGGTTGAAAGGTTAGCAGCTTAACTCCGCTAAATCAATTCCATCATTACTGAAACCTCAGATGGTCAGAAGACATGTTCTCTGATCACATCATATATATATATATATACATATAGTTGACCAAAAATTCTTTGAAACACACACGGTCACAAAATGCTCCAAACACTCGAAAAAGACGATTATTCTTGAATATGTTCGTGATTCTATTAAACATTATTATCATTAGAAGATCAAAATTACCTCAGTAGTACTGTTATGTGACTTTACAGTCCAGTCTAAGTACAATACCAGTACTTGGAATCAAATAGAATATTCCCAACAAGGTAGGATCAGAACTCTTTCATCAAGAATCACACCTGGACAATTCTCCCTAGACAGTCAGAAATGGCGCTTCTTCACTCAAACAAAATCCTAGCAGTCAAACAACACATCATCGTCATCACATAACCTTAGAGAGAAGAAATAAAATTAGAAATTAGACGGGAAGAAGTACAAATAATAAGGAGTAAATCTGTAGGTGATTTGCAACTATCAGAACAATGATATACAGTCTAGGAGAAAAACAGACAATAATTACGAAGATAGTTGAAACATTCAAGTGAATATCCATATTGTGAGTAAATAATCCAGGAGGGATCTTCAAAACTACCTTTCCACTACAATATTTGTATGAAGTAATTTAGGATACCGTAAAAATGTGAGAACATTCAAATATAAACAAAGAAGAATTACTTATACATTTAACTTAAATTATGAGCTACAGTAGTTGTCTGAGTTGTTTGTGATGACTAGGTTTTTAACAGGCATCAGTGAGTCAAAACAATTATGCCTAATTTGTTTTAGGCACTTGCAAACTCACTGAACTACTTGTTAATTACTGATGATATTCAGCATTTGAAATATATGAAACTTCAATCAAAAAATATAGTATTAATTTATGAATAAGAGGAATTACTTTCATATGAGATAGTTGAAGGCGATCGGCAGGAAAGTTTGCTGCCAATCACCTCCAACTACCTCATACCAACATTTTTAGCTGCACTGTGATGGTGAGCCACCTAGTGGCATGGTGGCCACACTGCAAACTTGACTGATAGAAAGAAGTAAGTCTCCATCAACACGGAGGACTCGATACACTGCGCTAGTTACTGACTAATGTCCAATCAGAAATATCATAAACTGTTCGACAGGAGGTTAGTCGCGAGTCTGAATAACTCAGTGGTAACGTCGTTGATTGCAGCAGTGGGTTACGCTGGTGTGAATTTCAGAAGGGCCACGAGTTTATTCTTCAAGCTGAATGCAGATACGCCTTGATGACTGGTGAGTGGCAACTGGCATGAAACTTAGGTCAGTCGAGGCCACCTACCGAGTGCTACCAACTATCTTTTATCAACAATTGAAAGTCTACTGTGATGGCAAGCCATTTAATGGCATGGTGGACACATTGCAAACTTGACTGATAGAAAGAAGTAAGTCTCCATCAACACGGAGGACTAGACTCAATACACGAGTTACTGACTAGTGCCCAATGAAATAAATTACTTTTCCTATTCTTTTGTAATTATCTTTTCAATTACAAACTTAACACACCTAACACAAGTAATTTTCTAAAGAATACAATGATCTTTTTTTCTTAAAACGTAATTACACCAGTTTTTTATTTTATGTGTATTTAATAAAATAAATATTTGCCTTTTTTATTATTTTCGAAAAAATAAGTTGGTTTATTTACCTTTTTTTCCATTTTAACGTTGTTATTATTATCATCTTCGTCGTCATCATCAACATAATTTGTGTATTTTCCTTACTTAATTCATTCTCCTGTCATTTCTTTTTTTCGCATTTTCTTCACACTATACTATAGTCAACAACAGAATGTCAATAGTGAATCGCTAAACGCATCAACTGGTACTCTCTACTCACTGATATCAGCGACACCGAATTGGACTGTAAGTGTCTGAAGTACTCTTTTATCTGTTGAAATTTCATTCTGTATTCTTTGGCATATTGATTATGTTGCTGTGGAATGCGCTTAGTCTTTATAGTTTTTAGTGGATATAACACTTTTGTGTTTTGAAGTAACACGAGTGAAGAGTTCAAGTCTCAATGGGGACATCACTAAGTAATGAGGCGTTGGTTTGAGGGGGGGTTGGCGCCAACAAGCTGTCAAGTTGCAAATAGGATAGAACTGAAATCGTGGTTTCCTATCGAACTTGTGATCCAGAATAATGGCTGTCAGACGTGTACTTCATTTTCATTAAGGCCTTGACAACAGGCCTTAAACAACGTTAATCTTATAGTAGTTTGGTGACTAATTTCATTATGGATCAGATTTTATTTTGATAAATCGCACAGTGTTTTACAGAAATATTTACTGATGACCATGTTTTGAGCACAAACTATTGCTGCTCATAATCAAATAAACTTAATCACACAACTGTTTTTCTTCATTTATATACATGTGTGGAATCTATTAGATATTGGAATAAAATTCAGTATGAGATAATGTACATTCAGAAATAATAATATGAGTGTTATTCGTCAATTACAATCAGATGGGAAATAAGACGAGTGTTTTTATAGTCGTAATAAGCTACTTGTTAGAATGTTGTGATGTGTTTGAATTGAAATAGAATTTTAAGATTATCTATTATCCTCCTCTGATTTGACTGACTGGTGGTACTAATATCTTCCATATTTCTGGTATTTGCATTGGGTCATTTCTGTTGCATGTGTTCTGTTCGGTGTATACTCAATGAAGCAGGCAGGATTCAGTAATCAATCCCACTCGCTCTCCACCTACCTATATTACATTTTAGAATTTTAACTCTGTCGTACCCTATTGTGTGGTTGTGTGTTAGCGCGTGTAGTGCAATGTAGTGTTGAGCTTTTCTCTAAATTACTTATCTTTTGGGGGTCGACCATTCTTCCATTAGCTAAATTCTTATGTTCCGACAATCTGATTACCCCCCATCTACTAGTTTGACCTATATAGTTAACCTCACAGTCATTGCGAGGTATTTGGTAAATTATACTATTTTGTTTAATTGGGTACACCGGGTCTTTTAACCTACAGAGCTTGTCTCTTAGTAAGTTTGTAGGAGGGTTTGAATGGCACCCTAACTCCTGTCTTATTGACAATCCTAAGTAGACATGGCTTCAGATGTCCCCTCCTTATATGCTAAAACTGTAGATGACTTATATTCTCTCTTATTTATGTTATCGTCTTTAGTTCCACAATTATTTTTAATTCGCCTTTGGCCTTTTTCGATGTTCCTAATGAATTTTATAAGAATTTTTATAAAACACCAACGCCTCTTCTATCTGTTTTATTTCATCATTTAGATATTTTCTTGTACTACTTAGTGCTATTGCTCGGTTTGTTAGACACTCAATTAAGCCTGCCTTCACAGATTGATAACGGATGAGATGAATTAAAGTCTAGATATCTATTAGAATCTGTTACTTTTTTATAAACGCTAGTCTGCAGTTTATCTTCTTCTAATCGTTTTCAAGTGATGGTTTGTAGGGATTTGACTGGTTTCAGGATTTCATCATGAGCTGACATTAGTTAGAGAACCATTGGAAAACCAGCTGGGAGTACTGGACAGCTGCTTCGTCCTAGTTTGGGACCGGCTATTCAGCAGTACGCACCCACCGGGATTCTAACCCAGGACCTTCCGGTTACAAGGCAAGCTCGTATACCATTAAGCCACTGGGAGTCGATCCAATGGTCCTTGAATTCTAACTTCTGCCAATTGGCAGAGGTTCCTGGGTTCGAATCCCGGTGGGTGCGTACTGATGAAGAGTCCCAAACTAGGACGAAACAGATGTCCAGTACTCTCAGGTTTTCCATTGGTTCTCTAACTAATGTCAGCTCATGATGAAATGTTGAAATCTAATCGTTTTATTTTACAATCTAGTCAATTCCACACATGTATATGCATGAAGGAAAAAAGTTGTGGGAGTAGTGACATGATACGATTACGAGAATTAGTTTTTGCTCGAAACATGGTCATCAGTTAATATTACTGTACAACACTGTGTGTGATTTATCAAAATAAAATCTTGTCTATGATGGGGTTATACTATAACACAGTGTCCATGTTTTATACTTTTATATCATTTGGAGACTAATTCATCAGTAGACAATTCCCACCCAAATCTTTATCAACCTCATTCAGAAGTTATATGACAATGCCATATATCGAGTGATCAACAACGGAAAACTCAGAGAAGCTTGCCTTTTAAATGTATACAGAAGTAAGGCTGCCTATTATCACCATTGATACCCTTAATTATGATGAAGTCAATTATGTGTCAGGCTGTTGGGACAGAGAAAACAGAGATATGTTGGACTAAAAAGAAGACTTTAAAAAATGTCAACTTCGTGAACTATTTGTCCGCTTTCACACACAAACTCGAAGACTTACTAGAAAAACCCAACAAGCTGGCAGAAGAAGTAACCAGTGAAGAAATGACTTCAAATGAACTTATACAAGATGACGGTGATGAAAGTAACCGACCAACCAATAACAACAAGTACTAATGGCTATCACTATGCTGCCAAGTACAGACGACAGCACGGATAAGGATGTCAAAGTAAGCCAGTATCAGAAATGCAAGACACACCTTCATCATTCTGAAATCAGTTTAAAAAATGTTCTGCATTCCACAGCATACAGAACAGGATTCGCATTTTCAATACCAATGTTAATTCAGTCATTCAGTTCTTCTGAATGGGTTGAAAACTTGGCGCGCCACAAGAAACAATTCCAACAGGCTACTGCAGACATTTATCAACAACTGCCTTCGGTGGCTTCTTACTGAAAATTAGACCACTGGACAGAAAGAATTAGCCACAAGAAACTCTGTAAATCAACCATCCATGAACCTGTTGCCCAAGAAATATTTTCAAGAAAATGAAGATGAACTGAAGGAGGTGGTCTGGAGAGGAGGAGACCAGAGATTATGGGCAATCGTAAAGCCATTCAAGGAGGATCGCAGAAAATATGAGAAAGCGGAGATGTTCTGTTGAGACTGCAAGTTCCACATGGAATCGAAGGGAATGAAAATAATTATGACACAATAATAATAATAATAATAATAGTGATTTTTATGTCAAATTATGTTAATAATAATAATTTGCTTTATTCCAAAACAGTACTTGTGATACAGAATAGAATTCTCAGCATTTCACTATAGTACTGCATCCAGTTTGTACATTAACAATAAATAAAATTCTACATAGATTAAGGGTAATCTCAGTTAATTTTGACAACAACATATTAGCATATCGGTAGCAAAGCCAAAAGTGAACAGAATGTTTGAAGGTGTTAGTAAAGTAGATGTTAGCATATTTATTGACGTAAGCGGTAGCAAAAAGGCCGGGATATACAAGGTGTGAAAGAACGAAGAAGAATGTTTTAAGTAGAGTTTGTAAGGAAGAGAGAAACAAAACAGCACATTACAGAGAAAAGAAAAGAGAGAGAAAAGGAAAAGAAAGAAAGAAAACGTTGTGCCTATAAATTATATGTGTTGGAAAGACCAGGTCCAATTGTTCTACTGACTATTTAATAAGTCATAAGTTTCACGCCTAATGCTTCCTTTATCGCACAGAACACGAGCTAAGTAGGGTATGGTTGAGTTTTTGTACTTGCTAGTGCGAACATATAATTTTCTATGTAGGCTTCTGATCCTGCCTGATGAGATACAAGGGGAGAGTTGTGAATGAAGAGGATGTTGTGAGTTAGATAAAATGGATTTTGCCCATTTTTCACATTAGTCCATGTGCCAGTCAACCAGAATATTAACAAGCTGGTTAAGTGGCACATTGCTTACCCTGCTGACAACCTTTAACACCCTACGTAATAAGATATAGTCCTTCTTCAGTAGCCATGGAGAAACATATATATATATATATATATCCAGAAGAAAATCACTTAAATCAGATTCCTAATTTGCGAACTAAAATCGCCATTGGCAATTCACACAGTACGTGGAGATGACGAAATTCCGCTGCCAATGGTTTCCCTTACAAACTAAAATTATTCGGTTCACAATGCGAGTGTGATCTGCCCGGTGCCACATACGAGAATCCTAGGAAGCGAACGTAAATGCTCAAAACTATATTCTACTAACTGACTGAGATAATCGATATTTAGACCACTTCGATGTGGCTAGCAAGCATAAAAGATTGATGTGGGTGGTATAGAACTACTCACCTCAATCAATGAGTAGTATGTAGTTTCAAGAAAACACTCAATATTAAAAAAAAGAAACATTCTCTTGTTAGTTTTTATTGTTATTTCCGATTTATTTTCACTTTTTTTCTATACCAGTAAGATTATTTGAACGTGTTTTAAAGCTCACACCTAAATAGGAAATACGTATTTTTTAAAGAGTTATATTAGTCATAATAAAAAGTAAAAAGTGTTTTAAGTGAAGTCTGTCACTCATTTCCTGAAGTAACTGAATTTCTTTCCATCTGACTGTAATTTGTCTTTTTAAATATTATCTATATATTACCATCCTTTTAGATTCCGAATGGAACATAGGGCTTCATTAGCATATCTGCATTCTAGTCGATTCTCTAAAGTCCTTCCTAGCCTTCAAGCTCCATTATGTCATTGTCACAGAAATGCTTAACTCATTGTTTCCTATTCAGATTCTACTCTAGGGCCTGATATCTGATGTCGATTAACAGTCTCCTCAACGTGTGTCCAATCCATCTGTATTTCTAAAGCTTAGTAAACGAATTAGCAATTGATAGTGTTCTCTGAGCTCAGAGAACACTATCAATTGCAAATCATCCACCTGAGTTACAAATCTTTTCTATTATTAGTAAACGAATATCTCAGATCTCATTTTGTTAGCCAATGTGAGTTCCAAAGTAGTAACTAGCCATTCATTCATTTATTTTTACGTCGGTGGCATAGTGGTTATAATT